GATTGAGACCAATTGCCCAAAATGTGCCCAAGTCTCTGTGAGAGGCTAAAGGTGGATCAAGGGGCTCATCCCTTCCCTGCTGCCCAGGAGGAGATGTTCCCCTTACCCCCTCTCCATCCTCCACCTTCTCACACACCTCTTTGCAACTTCCTGCAGGGATTTAGCACCAGTGGAGCCCTTTCCAGCTCACAGCCTGTCCTCAGCAGGTGCTGGTGAGGATTGTGAATGTGCCTCCAGCTCCAGGTCTCTCCAGAGCTGCAGCATCACTCCCTTCTCCCCCAGGGACCCACCCAGGGTGCTGGGCACAGGGCAGCTTTGTCACTGGCAGGGCATCCTCCAAGTCCTTTACACAAGGCACAGGTCTGATGGGAGGGAAATAAGTGTCTCAAAGTGTCCAAAACATTTAGGGAAAACACTGGTGACAGTCTGGAGCAGGGATGAGTGGGGAGGGTTGCAGTAACTGCAGAGGGGGGATGCTCTTACTGATGCCACCACTGCAAGAGAGGGCCAGACCTGCTGGCTGTCCCAAGGCTGATTAGAATGTACCCCTGGCTTCAGATGGATGCTGAAATCCTGAAGCTCCTAAGACAGATGGGGAGCAGGGGAAATCAGAAAAATCCTTCCATCTATCAAAAGAAACTGGAAATAACTGTGACCCTCTCCACAGCTGAAGGCTCCTCTGGAGGACCCGGGTGTGCCTCCATCAGGCATGCCAGCTCCATGGCCTGTCCTGCTGAGGGCTGGGAGCTGCTGGCTGCCAGGGCATCACTATGGGCACAGTGGGGCTCAGCACTGCCACTGCTGTGTGATTTTCCCTGCTGCTTTGCAAGGGAATAAACATCCCAGTGACCCTGGGAAGGGTTTGGCCACCACTTTGCCATCTGCAGGATGGTGCATCCCAGCTGCTGTGCCCACTCTGCTGCCCGGCCCCAACCCAACCCTACAGAGCTGCCAGGGAAGCCAGGCACTGCCCAGTCCCCATCCCACCAACCCTTCCTCACCTCTATTTGGATAACTTTTTCACCCATTTTGTTTATGAGGACTCCCCTCCTTCTGCCAACACTCTGAGTTTCCTCTCGCTATAGTCTGGGAGGCCCATCTCGCTTTTTCATTCTCATTATTTCTCTCTCCCCCTTGCCTGGCCCCAGGCTTGCAGCGGGTGCTGGCCAGAAGCTGCTTTTGTTCGGCCGGGGGAGCAGATGGGGAGAGTGGCTGCAGGTGGGATGGGCAGTGATTCCTCCCCATCCACCCCACAGCACCTGGCTCTGCCTGCACTTGTCCAAGCTCAGCATGTGGCTCAGTTACTGACTCTCAGACTGAAAAGTTAAAACAAAAACAACTTTAAGAATCACAATTAATTAAAATACTTTTTTAAAAAATTCAGGGGAAAATTGCTGTTAGAAATGTTTACCTGCCTGTGTTTAAGGTCACTGATGTGCCAGGGCTGCAAGTGGCTGCTCACATTAGACCAGCTCTGAGTGGACAGAATAACTTCATCCTAAGTGATTGAAGAGCTTGTTCAGCTCCTCCTGCTGCATGTGTCAGGCAGAGCTGGTTGCTCACTGCAGAAATTAGGTTGGCTTTGCCCCCTGGGGCTAAGCTGGAGGCAGGCACTCTGGATGTGGGGACAGCCAGAGCTGGCCACCCTGCACCACCAGGTCTCCCAGGCTGATGGGAGCATCCCTTGAACCTCCCCTTCTCCTGCAAATGAGGTGCAGGTCAGTCCCTGGAGGGAGAGTGGGTCAGGAGCCATCTCCCACCAGCAGCGGGGGCTTCAGCCTGAGGGATGCTCAGCACTGGCTCCTCCTGGGCCAGTTCCCCCTCCAGGATCTGACCCTATGCACATCTCAGAGGAATCAATCCTTCATTTCTCCAGCTCACACGTGTATGGCTCCTTGCACTTTGTCCAAGCAGCACCTGCTGGACACAAAGACACAGCCTGCACTAAACAGACCAAAACCTGGACAGTTTTCTGGGCATTTTCCTGCAGCTCAGAGGTAGGAGTGAAGAGAGCTCCTCCAGACACCTGGCTCCTGTGGGCTGGGGATGTACCACCTGATAAAAGCAGGTTGAAACTCAGCATTCTGTAACTGCTTGATCACGACTGCCTGCTCCAGTGACACTACAGCAGATCCTGTACAATTCCTACACATTTCCATTGCCATAGGCCATGGACCCACCGAAATGCTGACATGCCCTGTGTGTGGCCATGGCTCACCGTGGGGTGATGTTACCTGAAATAAAGTGATCTGCAGAGTACTAAAGTGCTGGGGACGGGGGGCAGGGAGGCACAAGGCACCATGAATGCCACAACAGAGGTGGGTTAGGGCTGGAGGTGACACCTGTGAGAGGCTGCAGGCCTGGATCAAGGGAAGCAGCCACCCAAAGAGAGGCCATGAGCAAAGTGGTGGGAGTCCCACAAGCCCTCCTGGGACCTGGGTTTGCACACACAGTACCTGGAAGGTGAGCTGGGCAGGGGCTGCACGCTTGTAAAAGAGAAGAGGAGCAGGACATGAAAAATAGAGTGAGGAAAGCAAGGTAGTATGATGGGGAGCCTCATGAGGTGTGATGGAAAGCCAGGGAAAGCGATGGAGAGCCCTTGAGAATGATGGAGAGCCGTGAAGATCTGATGGAGAGCCACGAGGAAGTGCTGGACAGCCATGAGGATGTGATGGAGAACCTCTTAACTGTGAAACCTCAGCTGCTGGAATCTCACTCCGCAGCCTGGCCGTGCCCAGGGAACCAGGGTTCCCAGAACACACAGGACCAAACCAGCTGCGTGAGGATGCTGCAACACAGGCACAGTTGTCCCATCCTGAGGATAACCATGGGCTGATGTCAGCCCAGGCAAGGGCACCTGTCCCCAGGAGTCCAGGGGTGCATTTGGTGGCAGCTGGCCTCTGTCACAGCCAAGGAGCACAACAGGGGGTTAGTGCCCACTGTGCCACACCAGAGCATGGACACAGGCCTGGCAGGCATCTCGCCGTGGCCAGGTGACCAGGCAACAGTGTGCCACCTGATGCTGTGCCCCGCAGAGGCTGGAGGCTGCTGCTTGTCCAGGCACTACACTCCCTGCTGGGAAAGCTGCCCAGCCATAACACTGGCCCTTGGCGGGAGCACAGCGCTGGCAGGTGCCCGCTGTGCCCACTCACACAGCCCGGGCACGCCACGGGCCACCTGCAGCCTGTGCATTGGGGCTGGCAGTGTGTCCTGGCACAGCACTTCACCTCCTCTAAACTGCTGCCACTTGTGCTGCGAGCCCGGCAGCAGCAGCAGCCCCTCTGCCAGCACGTGGGGCCGCTCTGCTCCCTCAGGCACGTGCCTTCCTCTTTGGGTCAAGCAGAGTGAAAGAGAGAAAACACACGGATAGGATTTACATCACATCAAAATCAACCAGAACCCTTCTCCTGCCTCCACCTCCAGCCCTGCCTGGGGCGGGGGGAGCGCGGCGGGGCTGGGCCGTGGGGCTGGGGGCTGCTGGCCGCTGCCAGCCCCGCTTCCCGCGAGCGACGCCAGGCCGGCAGCGCGGGCGGTGGGAACGCCGTACTCACCATATGGAGCCTCCATCTTAGCGCTTAGCTGGGTGCCTACATTGACCATGTCTCGCCGGCTACTGCTATGGGGACTTGGGGCGAAAACCAGAGGAAGTAGAGGAATAAAAAAGAAATCTAAATAAATAAATAAAAATGTCTCTCACTAAGGAACTAGGTGAAGGCAGGAGGGAGCGCGGAGAGGCAGGGCGAGGAAACCTGCCTCTCCTGTTATCTTATTGATTCGCTTAATCAGGGCTAATGTGGGTGGAGATGTTAAATAGTAACCAAGCTCTTATGGAAACCAATCTGCAAGGTGCCGTTGCTGTAGCTATAGTAACTGCTGCCAAGCTAGAAACTCAAACACGGCTTTTACTGGACTCTTTTGGGGCTCCCGCTTCCAGATGGTGTCAAGGCCGGGGCAGCCGCCAGGCTGGGGTTCACCCCTGGCCACGGGGAGCGGGGCAGCCGGATCCAGCTCTGCGGTGCCCCAGGTGCTGCTGGGTTTTGTGCCATCACCCGCCCGAGATGGGAAACCAGGTGTGAGCCTGTGTACTGTGAAGGACAAACACAGCACGGGGGCCAGGGGCCATGGGACAGGTGTAGGGACTGGTAAGGCACAGCACAGCCTGGCTGAGGCACAAGGGGAAAAATGCCCAGGCCATGAGTTGGGGCTTGTCTGCCTGCTGCCAAACCAGAGAGGTTGCTTGGGGATGCTGTGGTGGATGCAGGGTGATACCCTGCGCACAGGACTGGGCACTGGGTGCTCGCAGCTCCTCCCTGTCTCTCTGTTTCTAAATCACAAGGTACCACAGCCACTTTTGGTTATCTGTGCTCCCTCTGGGCCTGCTGCATCCAGGATTTCATGGTAGCAGATGTGCAGATGAGCTCCCCATGAGGCTGTGGCTGCCCCTGTGACACTGGGGGCTCCATGTCAGGAGCAATCTGGGCTGCCAGGGGCTGTGCTGAGGCCAGCAGGGCCATGGGCAAGAAGTGTTGGAGAGAGGACATCAAGTATGTGCAGAATCCAGAAGTGAAGCTGAAAAAATGATTATCCATCAGCACAGAGCCTTCCATATCTCCTGTACATCTCAGGAAGAGGCCAGGCAGGTGGAGGCACAGAGGGGTCCTTGCCAGTCTCAGGATCCCCCCCAACACCTCAGCTATTGAAACCCTGCAGCCCTGAGGGGGCCAAATGAAGGACATCTGCTCCTCTGGAATGGAAAAGCACATCCCAAGGGACATGCAGTGGGGAGAGCGCTGCTGGATGCAGAGGGCTGCAGAACAGGAATCCACAGCTGGATGCTCAAATCCAAGGACTTGTAATTCAGGAATCTCTGAGTTTGCTGAGTGCTGAGAGGTTCTAAAGAGGGAGGGGATGTGGATAATGGGGCGCTCAGTGGCACTGGGGTGAGGTAGAGCGGTGGGATGGTGTGGGACAGCATGGGCGGGACAGTGAGTGTGTGGCGCTTCAGCGTCATCACCACCCCGCGTCCCAGCAGTGCTGGCTTCTCCCACACGATGGAGCAAAGCGCCCAGACATCTCCTGTGCCCGCAGCCCGTGGCCCCACTGAGGGCATCTGCCCCCCCCTTTGCTGCTTACTCCCCAAACCAGAGCAAAGGCACTGGCTCGGTGTTACCCCGAGGCTTCAGGAGAGAAGTGAGTGAGAACCAACACAAGCATGGGGGTCTCCAGACTGCTTTATTGGGGGCTCAGAGCTGGGGGCCCCATGGTCAGAGGGGCTGCTGTGAAGCAGGAGCATGCTCAGGGCTCCCCACTTATCCAGCTGCTCCCCACAAGGGGAACATCTTGGTGTTCACTTACTCCAGCCTCTGCCTTAGCACCGGGGAGGGACAATGGGTCTGCAGGGCAGCAACCATGTCAGCCAGCCCCACTCCCCCCATGCACCCCTAAACCATCCCCATTTCAGAAAATAGAGACCTGAACTGTCTGTAGATCCCCCAAAGCGGGAAGCAGCCAGACAACGAACACTGCTGGAGACATGTGTTAGAAAAGCATTTTCCTACGTGGCATTAGGATGAAGCAGGTTGGACAGCCAGGCTGCCGGGGGTCAGTGTTATAAATAATTCCTGTTCAGCCCATCTCCATGGCCGGGGCTCCTCCTGGGGCTGCAGCCCTAGAACCAGCTGACTTGGTTGGATTTGACTCCGCTGAAGCACATGTTGTTGGAGCAGCCCCCGCCGTAGGTGGGGGGGCAGGCTGAGCACGGCCGCCCCACCTTGTAGGGCGCTTCTCCCAGCCAGTTACCCCTAAAAAGAGAGGAAGGCATCACCTCTGGGCATCATCAGCCCACTGCTGACACTGCTGTGGGGAGGGAGGCTGGCACGGGGGGCTCTCCCCAGTCACTCACTTGATGGCGTAGTTGCAGACGAGGAGGATGGCGTGGCGCCACGTGCTGCCCCACACCCGCACGTTGGCACACGTGCCCAGGGCACAGCCCAGGCGGCTCGAGGTTGCCCACACCATCTGTGCCAGGACAGAGAACAGACCCTGTTGTATCCATCCACCCACACACCCCACAGCTGATACCCCCAGGATGCCAGTACAGGCTCTGTCCCCCCAGGGAATTGCATCCCAGCTGCCCCAACCTCTTTGGCTGGATGCTGGCCCATCACAGGCAGTGCTTTGTTACCACAGGGTGACTTTTTGCTCTCCCTCTCCTACCTGCAAACTGCACTGCCCTGCAAAGGATTGCCTTGCCAAGCTCACATCCATGAGCAGCAGTCTGGGTCACTGCTCCAATTTACCCAAATTAGCTCCTAAACCTCTCACTGAATCATGGCCAGCAGCTTACTCTGCGCAGAGGGAGGTGAAGCAAAGACTAAAGCTCCTCCTAAAGCCTCTTCAGGTTAAATATCTTCCATTAAAAGTGTATATTGTCCTTTTGCAACCAAGAGCATCCCTGAGTATCCTCAAGGATGAGCCACATGGGGATGCAGATGCTCAGGTAAAGGTTGGAGCCATGAAGAAGAGGTAATTAGGGGTTGGCACAGTTCCGCTGCCAGGCACAGGAACAGAGGAGTTTTCCACTTTGTGCTGGCCAGGCTGTGTGGGGATGTGCCAGGGGATGAAGGGGCTGCATTCCCAGGGAGCCAGAAACAGCTGGGTGCTATGAAGCTGCTCCATCACAGAGAGGAGGATTCATGCTTGGCAAAAGTACAAAGCAGCTTTTTTTTTTTTTTTTCTTTTCACCACCTTTAAGTTGCCAGAGGTGCAGTGAGGAGAGAAAGGCCAAAGGAGAGGGAAAAAAACTTTCAAAAATATGGAAACCTCCTTGTCAACTGGTCAGAAGGTCCCAGCTGCTTCTCCAGTGAGTTGTGAACCCCTGGGACCTTCCTGCAACAGCCCAAATGCTGGAAAAGTCCAGGCTGGGAGGGCATCGCTGGCATCCCTCCAGCAGACAATGCCAGCTGCCAGGACAGCTGCCTGATCTGAAGCTGGCAGCTGCCAGGGTTTGACCCTGGATCCCTGGCAGAAGAGCTGTGAGCTGCACAAGGCCCCCCCTTGCCTCTGGATCCCAGGGGCTGCAGTGCTCACCTGCGTGTAGTGGCTGCAGACGGAGCCGCTGCATTTGGAGGGGCAGCGGGGGTTGCACTCGCGGGGGTGGGGGAAGGAGTAGTGCTGCTTCTCCTGGTGCCAGGACTTCACCATGTCCATGACAGAGCGGTACCTGCAACGGTGCTACAGGTCAGGTGGATCTCCTCCACATCAGAGGTCAGGGGAGAAGGAAAGGAAGGGAAAGCTCCACACTGAGGAAGTGGAGAAGAGAAATGGTTTGGGGCCAGGGCCCGTTGGGAACAAGCATTCCTGGGAAAAAAGGGATATGACATCCTTGTGCCAAGAACACTTGTGCTCAAGGCTGGAAGACCAGAGACACGTGAGCACTCAGCCACATGGAGGAAATCCAGGACCCATATCCCCCTGGTCTGGGTGCCTGGCAGAGAGGGGAATAGTGGCATACTTCCCAAATGAGCAGCAGGCATGCTGCTTTCCTGTATTTACCCGTCTGCAGGAGCTGGGCCCTGCTCCTGCACCCCGGGCTTCCTGATGTGCCTCTCAGCTCTGTCTCACTCCGTGCAATGCCAGCTCAGAGCCCCTCTGCTCCTTGGCTGAGGGGCTGCTGCTGCTCCTGCTGCAGCATCGTGGGGTGTGGGGGCTCCCCAGGAGTGTCTGCAGGGCACTCACCTGCCCGACTGGATGGAGAGGTTCTGTCCCACGTACTTCATCAGCTCGGGGGGGCCGTGGTCCCACAGGCAGCGCGTGGCCCACGCCTCCGCTGCCCTGGCCAGCCGCTCATCCCACACCTGGCCAGGGGAAGGAAAAGGGCAGGCAGGAGTTTTGGCTTCCCAGAGGAGGGAACAGGAGAAATCTGCTCCCTTGTGCTATGAGGGTTTTCTGAGTGTCCAAAAAAATAGCACTCATGCATTAGGGTAGAAAACGCCCAGGGGAGGAAGCACAGCAGCGTGTCCAGGAGCCATGGACCTCCCCAGCTGCTGCCACAGCTCTGGACACACAGTGTGGCAGAGCAGGGATGCCCTGCAGCACTGCAAGCCCTGTGTGTGTGATAGGAAGCACAGCAGCGTGTCCAGGAGCCGTGGACCTCCCCTGCTGCTGCCACAGCTCTGGACACACAGGAGGGAATCACACACACAGGGATGCCCTGCAGCACTGCAAGCCCTGTGTGTGTGATTCCCTCCAGAAATGAGCTCCTGCACAAGGTGGAGCTGAGCACAGGGGTGAAGCCCTGCAGCCCTGTGCTGCTGCTGCAGCTCGCAGCTGTCCCAGCCCTCAGTGCAGCCCTGGCCACAGCCTGACCGGTGAGCACAGCTGCTTCCTTCATGCATTATTTAAAGCTGCCTCACCCATCCTGAACGCCTTTGGGGAGATGCCTGTGTGAGTTACTTTGGAAGGCAGGAATTTAGGCCAAGCAAGAAGCAGTGCAGGATGCTCCTGGGCATGTCTGACCTGCTCTGGTACCCAGCAAGCTGGGCTGCTGTGTGCTTCTCCAAACCACATCCAGGGACCACCCAGCTGCTCCCTCAGAGCTGCTCCCCTTCCTGGGAACAGGGCAGCATGTGGCACCCTCTGCCCTGAGTAGGCTGGAAATAGCTCCTCTTGGGGGACCTTTAGGGCTGGGTTAGGATTTCCAGGCAGGGTGGACAGAACCTGAGGAAAGCTCTGCCCAGGGTGACCCTCATCTGGCGCTGGCTGCACATCCCCTCCTTGACTCAGTCCTGCACCGTTTCTGCTTCTGGGAACTGGCGCCACTTGGAACACTCAAAAGGGACCCTGGAGATTGTGATGGGATCATCCCTCACAGATGCAACTGGGGAGAGGCTCCTGCCTGGGCTTTGGGTTGGGACCTGAGCTTTTCGTGCTTGTAGCCACCTCCCAGATGTCCCAGACACAGGCCCACTGATCCTAAATCTGCCCTCATGGGGAGACATCTGTGTGCTGGGACTCCATCCCTCCTGCACAGAGGCTGCATGGGTCTGCTTAGCCCCTGGGACCCAAAAAATCCCCCAGGGCACGTGTTCAGCCAGGAAGCTGACATCCCTCCTAGGCTGGGGCTCCCACACCAGAAGTGGACTCAAAACCACCCTGCCAGAGCCCAACTCACCATGTATTCCATATTGGCAGCGGGGGGGGACACCTGTGCCCGCACTTGGTTGTGGTAGTCCAGGATCACGCTCATGTCGTGGGGGGAGAGGAATCGCTTCCGCCGGCCCCGCGGGACCCCCTCGCCCCTCGGCAGCCCCGCGGCCGCGCCCGCGGGAGGGGACAGCAGCTCGGTGGCGTTGGGCAGCAGCAGGGAGCTGGACAGCTGTGTCGCCCAGCAGCCCAAGGCCGTGAGGTACAGGTGCAGGTGCAGCACAGCCATGCCAGCCCGCCCCGGTGCGATCAGCCGGCAGATTTCTGCTCCTGCACGGAGTTAAGCAAGGACAAGGCAGGTTGCTGGTCTCTGCTGCTGGTGTGCAGATCTAGGAGAGAAAACAACAGAGGCACCACTCAGGATTGCAAACACCATACAAGCACCATGTCCCAAAATAACGTGGAAACAAATTTTCTTTTTTCCTTAGTAATAACAGTAGTTTTTCCCTATTGAAAACAGTAATATTTAAAATTAATCTCTTTAATAACCTTATTTATCAGAGAAAATTCCCCAGAACTGTCAGGGATATACCTGGGGAATTGATTTTCTTGTTTGTTTAAAAAAAAAAAAAAAAGATAAAATCAGTAGAAAGTCTCCCCATTTTTTTTCACTTCTGGCACATACCTGTGGCACAGGAGATAGGAGTACGCTGAGAGTCACTGCAGCTGCCTGCTCTCTAACTTCCCAGGAGTTTGGATTGTTGAATAAATCCCCAGCACAAACAGAAACCTCACACAGATAAAGAAACTCACAGCAAGACTTAAAAGCATTGTCAGGAAATCCTAACGACTCGTTAGCATTTAGGTAGAAAAGAAAAATTTCTACTGCAAGAGCCGAGTATTTTTTCTTTTTAAGGAAAAACGCTGGAATATCCCCTCATCCGTCAGCCGATGCACCTCCTAGCATCCCTGCCAGCCCTTCCCGGAGCAGCGGGAGGATGGATGTTCCCGGGAGCACGTACCGTGAGCGCTGCGCTGCGAGCGGCGGAACCCGGCGGCGGCGGGATTGACCTGCGGGAAAAACCTGCGGGAACAACCTGCGGGATTGACCTGCGGGAACGACCTGCGGGATTAATCTGCGGGAACGACCTGCGGGATTGACCTGCGGGAACGACCTGCGGGATTGATCTGCGGGAACAACCTGCTGGGGCAGATGCGGGAGGCTCGGCTCAGCCCCGGCGGGCAGCCCGCTGCGGCCGCTGACGCACAAGCTGCATCTTAACTCTTCCCGCAGGGAACGTGCTGAGGTTTGGGAAGAGCCCTGCCAGGGGATTTATAGGCTGGTGAATGCCTCCGCGCACACGGAGCCCCGCACGGGGCCGGGGGGAGCGGGCACAGCACGGCTCGATGCCTCGGTGGGTGGAGGAGCTGCTCCTCGCTGCTGCCTGGGGGTTTGTTCAGGCTACCTCCAGGGAGAGATTCCCAAAGTCATCTCTTTCGTGCTCGTTCCCTAGCGGGGATCTTGCTGGGAGCAGTGGGCAGAGAAGCCGATCCAGGTCGCTGAGGGATGCAGAGGGAGTTTTGCCCCGGTGAGGAAGCAGCAGGGCTGGGACCCGCCTGGACCACCAGGGTCACCCCACCTGGGTGCAAGCTTAGCAGGTGGCAGAGGTGTCCCTTATGGGGGTGGCTGGGACGGGACCCGGTGGCCACACACGTCCCTGGGTCAGCAGCTCTCCCGTTATAGATGAAGCCACTTGCTGGGCTGGGCGTTGCCACCTGTGTGTAACCCAAGGACTGGGACTTGTCACAGCCCACAGGGACTCTGCCCATGGCCCCACCACTGACCCGAGCTGGCAGTGCCCAGCCAGGGTCATCTCAGGGGAAAGCAGTGGGCTGTCCTCCCTCCACTGGGTCCATGTGTCTGTCCCCAGGGAGGGGAAATGGCTGTAGCATCTGAAAGCCATATCCTGCAGCATGGAGTGTGTTTCCCTACAACATCCCACACAGTCATGATGCCAGGGGACAGCTGAGTTATTGCAGGTCACAGAGACACCTGGCCAGCTGGAGGGGCTGCTTGCAATGCCTGTCACATCCTCCTCCCAGCGTGCTCAGAGCCAGCACAGGTGGCATTGTGTGACCTGCAGCAGGGCTCGCTGCTGCCATCCCCCCATGCTACAGTGCCCCCGGTAAGCAAGGTGCTGGTCTCCCTGTGCCTCACCAGCTTTGGGTTCACCACAGGCGGCTTTGGAGCCAGGATCTGGCTCTTCAGTTGCATGAAGAGGAGCAGCAAGGCCAAACTCCCTCTCCTCAGCTGGCAAGGGGCACAGAGATGGAGTGCAGGGAGGAGAAGGCAGTCCCACAGCAGCAGCAGGTCACTGCTTCTCATGGCCCACAGCTGTGGCTGACAAAACCTGAGGATCCCAGACCCATAACTCCTGCCTGTGCAGGGACTGACAGCATGTCCCAGAGCCTGGCTGGCTGCACCCAGCTGCCCCAGAGACCTGCAGCAGAATCTGACCAGGAGCTCAGGGAGGCACAGACCTGAGCATGGAGCAGGAATAAGGCCCAGGTGCTGAGCTGATGTGCTGTACTAATACAGCCTCACCCTGCTGGGAGTCTCCAACAGAAGAGACCCCTTTGTACATTTTTCCTGGCAGCATCTCTCTCATAAAGCAATTCAAGATGCTGTGGGCCCCGGGGAGCTGCTATGTGCCAGAGGGGTATTTCCATCCACTCCCCAGCCAGCAGGTGGGATGGTGGTTGTGCCAGTGAGGAGACAGGGGAAATGCAGCTGGGGCATCTCTGGCCCCACTGCAGCACTGCAGGAGGGGATCCCTCAGTGCAGAGAGCAGCAGCACCCCATGAAACAGCAGGGCTGGGTATGCTGTGGGGGCTATGCTGTGGATGGCACTGGGAATGCCAGGGCATCAGGGTGGCTCCCATAGCTCTCCGACTTTCCAGGCTGCCTGTTGTAGGGGTCTAACCAGCTCAGCCTCACCTTCCAGCCCCAGATCACCCCAAAACAGCAGCCACCTCTCTGCAGGTGCTGGGCAAAGTGCCATCCCCAGTTTGCCAGCCCTGCAGACACCCCTGTTTCACGTTCATCTATGGAGACAGGCGTGTCAGCTCCAGGGACCAGCAGCAGGACAGCGCTTTGTGCTGCACATGGGGACAGGCACTGGTGCTGCCTCCCTCCACTCAAACCCAGATATCAAATCTCTCATTAGCGAGGCTGGTAAAGGCAGTTTCATTCCCAGCAGATTAAAAAGGCAGATGGGGACATGCAGCAGTGATCTTAACTGGGCAGAGCGGGAGGTGCAGCTGCTGCCAAGTGCACACTGAGGTAAGGACACTGGGGCTGTGTTGTGGAGAGGGTGGTTTTTAATGATCTATTATTTCACAGAAGACACAGCCCTGAGCAGCAAACACTCATCCAACACTGTGAACTGCAAAACTTTTAATTTGGGATTTTTCTTTTGAGTTTCTGTCTCTCTGGGGGCTCGGGGAGATTGAAGCCACCGCAGCTCCCTGTGCCACGCAGCAGCTGAGCCTCTGCGCAGAGGCAAGGCGAGGGTTTTGTCTTGGGTGCAGATTGAAAGCACTGCTTAATCAGCACTCCACGAGACAATCCAAATTCCAGGAACTGGAAGGGGTTTGTGTCCCTGCCAGGCGTAATATCCTGCAGCCCAGACTGGCCCGGCTGCCAAAGCACACGGTATCTGCAGCGAGGACCTCGCCGGGAGCCAAGAAGCACATGCATTCAGCTGGATACAGCCACAGCCGGCAAATTCCCATTTTAATGAGCATCAGGGGGAACAAAAAAGATAAATCACTGCGTTGAAGCACTCTCTTGGCAGAGACACCCTCTGATGCTTTTATGACCAACAGACAGCAGCTTGCTCTGGAATAAGACATAATGGGACTTGCAGGATTTCTCTGTCATGTTTATTTCTCCCATCTGTTGGCTTTGGGCATCACCCATCACCCACATTCCAAGGTGGCAGACGGTGACATGAGCCCATGCAGGACTGAGCAGGGCTTTGCCCTTTGCTGACGTCAGGATCTGCTCTGCTCCCTGAGCGTCCTGGTGCCTGGAGCAGGTTGATGTGGATTTCCATAGCAGGAGCTTTCTCTTCATTGGGGTAAAATACAATGAAACCAGGGTCCTGTCTGAACAAAACTTTCCCCAAGCAATGCACAAACTCTGTTGTTCAAGTAAAATATTCCCCTCCTATCAACTGACAGAAAGGTTCATTTCCATCTTTGCTGAAAGATGTTCCTTTCCACCAGTCCCACCCCAAAACATCAACAAGAGCTCCAACTACCTTGGTGCCCACCCTGGCAGAGAAGGAAAGTGGGGCTTTTGGAGGATTTTTTCATTTCTGGAGCCCCGTAGAGGTCCAGCATATCCAGAGTTTGGTTCCTCCTAACACATCATGAAGGGAGATCTTCCTTCTGACTTGGAGGCTGGAAGATTTGATCTCCATGTCTTGTGACTTGAGTAAGCCCAGACTGAACTCCTGGTTTTTTGTGATCTTCCAGGAGTGAAACACCCATTGAGGTGTAACACAACTGAGATCAGTCCTGAAGTCTGAGGACTCCAAAGTCATCCTTCTTCCTATTTAGGAGCTCTTTGTAAATGCTGAATCCCTTGCTGAGCTAAGCTGAACCTTGGAGGAAGAGCTACTGTCAGACCTCACACTGAAGAGGTGACCATCAAAGGGACAGGAGTTCTCCTGGAGCCTTTCATGCAATGCCCAGCACATCCCTCTGCTTCAGGTGTAATGTCCTCTTATAACCCACAGTTTCTGCTTGTGCATTTGCTAAGGTGAAGAAAAACCTTTCCCATTTTATATATAGTGATGGTGTAGAGAGCCAGCAGTTGAGAGTGTGGGCAGGAGCCTGCACGTGTGGGTCTGACCCAGGGCTACCCAGGGCAGCACAGAGCAGCCTTGCCCTCAGTCTGGCTCCTGACCCCTCCCCAAAAGTGACCTGGACACCACAATTAGCTCCTTTCAGTGGTGCAGCTGGCCAGGACTAATGCTTTTGAGCCCTGAAGTAAAAACCATTTGTTTTGGGGTATTAACTAAGGTGTCCCTCAAGGCTGACATGATCTCCCGTAGCTCCTTGGTGAAGAGGTGGGTGTCAGCCCCCACATCTCCCCACAACACCTGTGGCACTGTCAGAGCTGTGGCCCCACCATCAGCCTGTGACTGCCTGCAAGGGAACTCTGATGGCCAATGGCTCCAGCCAGCACCAAGATATATTTGGAACCTTTGAAAGGTGAGAAATTTTTCCACTAGCTCTAGAAATAAACATCTCTGAAGTCAAGCTCTGTGGACAGTAGTTGCTCGCAAAGGTATTTTTTTACAGTAACTGGGCTAAGTTTAGAAATTCACTTAAATAACACGGAAGCTTCTCTCAGCACAATTTGGAAGATAGTTAATTTGCTGCTTGCTAACAAATGGTTGTTTAGCCTGGTGCTGTGGGTGTGTGATGGTCTCACTGCACACTGCCAAGGTGAGAAGAAACTCAGCTCAGTGGGAAGAGGGACCCATCACACCCCGAGCCAGCTGAGACCAAGACAGACCCAAACCTTGGAACTGACCATCAGCTGTGAGCTCCTCACCAGCTGCAACCAGGAACTGCAGTGCTGTGCCCACTTCCCCATCCCCAGTGCACAGCCCCAGCTCCCAGCAGGTGCAGCCCACATCCAGCTGTGCCCATGGCCACGTGCCAGAACCAACAGCCCTGGAAACACGGTGCTGGTGGGGTTTTTACTCTGCTGCTGCCAGATTTCTGCGTGATTGTTTTCCAGGCTCACTGGTGGGAAACCCATCGCTCACACCCAGGAGTCCTGGTGGGAATTTCCCATCTCACCAGCCTGCACAAAATTCATCATCTGGG